TAATATTACATTATTCACTTATAATAATAATATGACATTTATATCGCCCAAATCCATGTTACAATCATTGTTCTATGTGCTTTACATAGTATTCATGAAAAACATGCATCCACACATAACATTTAAATAGGCTACGGTGCAATCGGAACTTTTCCAGAAAAACTAACGGTGTCTTTTTTTTTACCACTTACTTTAACCACACTGGTGTAATAAAAATTAGACGACATACATATAATAGATCTACCAGTGTATAAAGTGCACGATGGCATATTCGTGCTTGCCACTAGAAGACCTACAGTGGAAACCTGATATAACAGGGATGGTGGGAGTAGAGAAAAAGTCCTGTTATATCCGATCCCTCTTAAATCCGAAATGCAAGGAAAGTGAGCATTTGTGGACTAATCTAGCTGTACTTATTCATAGGTAGTTTCCCTAGCCACAAGTACAAACGAACATGGGTTTTGGCACCGACTTTCTCCTTGCTTCCTTAAACCACATCAGAAGAGCTTGGTCCACAGCATCTGCATCGGGTAGTCTCATCTTCTTTCGATCCAGAGCAAACTTTTCATTGGAGTATGCTGCCACTATCTTCTCTCTATCCTTGATAATGGTGGGAATCGACCCATGTGGAATGTCGAACTGACGACAAATCTCTGCCAGTGGAGCTTGGTTTTTGTCAACAGTATGGATTATTTCGTATTTTTTTTGTCAATTGAAAGACATTTTCTCTTGCGCTTGACCATAATGAAAGAAGTAGGCTTAGATGTAGGCCGACCGGTCTCTCTCTCTCTCCCTCCCTCCCTCTCTCTCTCTCTCTCACTTTTTACACATTGTTAATGAGCCTTTGTCCCTGCTATAACCGGAATTAGAATCGGAACTGAAAACATTGAATCTAGCTCATTCAACATCCAAATTTTCATACGACATACGAATAAAGCAGCACTTATGCTAGGTCTACTTGACATTTTTCCAAAAACAATTGTTTACAAACTGATTTTCGACCTCAAAGGGCATACACACCATTCAGAAAAGAAATTTAACTTTAACAAGCGCATATGTCACAAAGGAGATCTTTGTTGCAACGTTATTGTTGCTATATCACACTGTCGCTGATCGGCGTCCCGTAGAGAAAAGGGATGGCTTTTTACCGTCGCCGATCCACGTCCCGTTGAGGCAAAGAGTTGTTAAACAAAAAAACGTATCAAAACAATAACAGTTACTAACACAAGGCTGCCCGCCCACCAGCCTATGTTATGGTAATCAACAAATAGAAAATGAGTAATCTGGCTTAAAAATTCGTGTTGTAGCCATCGATAGTCTTCTTTCCTGGAGTATCAAGGACAGCTGTTGTAGTCAAATATAAATGTAACGTTCAAAAAGGCATGATGAAAAAAGGTCTTGCTGGGCTCATCATTATCCAGTTGTTTTTTTACTGAAAAAGAAGGGGGGGGGGGTCCCCACTGCTTGCAAAAACAAAAGGAACCTTTGGGACTAAAAAATACTTTACAAATCTTTGATCCTGATAGTGCATCAGATCATACCGCGTCACATACCCAATACAGCTAACCATTTCAAGTTTGAAACAGTGATCCATTTTCAAAATGTTCTCATTATCCCAGCTATCATCTACAGCACAAAAGGGAAGGCATTTTCTACCACCTTGTCAACCTTATATTTGCCATACTCCTGGTTTTGGCACTTCTAAAGTCAAATGTTCTTCTAAGGGCAAAGTCGCACTGAGTGACTACAAGGGCTCAATGCAAAGAGGGCGTTAAAGTAAGGCAGCTGCACGCGATGTGGTGACATAGAGTGTCTGGATCTGGTAGTTTTCCCCCCTTATTCACCATAAAGGTAAGCAGTAGGTTGGGTTAGCCGAAATCCTGGCTATTAGAATCGTAATTTCGTAAAACTGAATAAACAGCGTGACGATTCCGCCAAATTCATAATGATGGGCAGCCCTTCTTACACCTGGGAAAAAGTGCAACAGACGGACAGGCTTCCAACCATCCACATATATAAAAGAAGTCATAATATATGTACAAAAAGCCTGACAGAAAAAAAAAACCCACAGGCCTCAGCAGTAGTAAAAGATTTATGGCACTTGCAATACAATAAGGTCACATAAGTGCTGAAGATTAGAGGTGTAATGAGAGTAACAAACACAAAAAAGGTGAGATAAGGAAAACAAATGTTTGATAGGAAAGAAGGAGCAAACCACATAAAAGCACCGCCAACCACCCACAACAGTCATCCAAATCCAGCACATCTCACATCTCTGAGTAGAGAACATGTGTGACCATCCGCACTCTAAATACTCTTATAGCCTAAACAATACCCCATGCAAATCAGCTTAATTCAACACCATTAAAAACAGCACGCTGCGCACATCCAACACACTTTAACATCACAATATCCACAAACTGGACATATCAAACACTCTTTATGATCATGATATTTACACTCTTTGTGTGTCAGAATGCTTCTACTTACTTTACTTTTACTTTTTCATCCTCTGTTTCCGTTAAGCGCAGAGGGGAGATGCAGTTTTCTATGGTAAGCCAGCTCCACAGCTCTTTCAGTTGTGACATGTATTCTCAGGGTTTCCTTGACACCCTCAAATCCACCTTTTGCGTGGCCTTCCTCTTTCTTTATAGCCCGAGTGCTTGTTGTTGTAGGCTCTCGAGGCTGGCTGGCCAGGTGACATACGTAACAGGCGGCCAAACCATTTTATTCTGTCTTTCTATGTAATGCAGGCAGGACTCAATGCTGATAGCTACTCTTACTTCTGCGTTTCTCTGCCTGTTTTGTCTTGTGATGTTAAGTATTTTGCGGAGACATTTCATTTCGCATGCGGTGATTTTGCTTTCATGGGTTTTACTTAATGTCCAGGTCTTGCCCTGGTAGCATAATGTTTGTACGAATATTGAGGTGATAAGCTGTCTCTTTGTGTCCATGGAGATGCTTGGATGAGATAGGAGGGGTGCGAGCTGGTAGGTGACAGCATTGGCTTTCTGAGGTCGAATTTCTATTTTTCTGTCTATGGACCCATTTTCAGAAAAAGAACTGCCAACATGCTTCAACACCACTAAAAGTACACACTGTACACATCCAAAACACTTTAACAACAAGACAGTTACACACTGTGCACATCAACACACTTCAGCCTCACTGTAACACTCTAAACAGACCGCAAAAACAATGCACGAGACACATCAACACACCTTGTTTGGGTTCCTTGTCCTCTTCCTTCTCCACCTTCTTCCGTTTCGTCCTCACAAAGTTGCCAAAGAAGTTCACTGAAGGCTGGGGACAAAAGACAAACAAGCAAATTAACAACAGATCAACAAAAAGCTGCCCAAAAGACGAGAAATTGAAACAATGTTGAATCTAAAGTGATTAAGTTCAGTTAAAGTGAGAGTTCTATGGCACTTGCAGCACAATTGCGTTGTGTAAGTGCCCAAGATTTGAGGTGCTACAAGAGAGTTACATACGAGTCAAAGCAAAGGAGGAGAGAGAATATGTTTGAAAGAAAAGAAGGAGCAAACCATATCAGAGCATCCGGCAACCACTCACAAAGTGATAGAGCCTCTTGCAGGTTCAGATGCCATTCATAAAACTGCCCACAAATGTCATTTCATAACAATCCCTCATTCCTGTTGCAATATATAAGTCACACTCTTAGTATATTACCCACCCTAGAGAACAGGCCTTTACTCAGTTACTCATTTTTCTGGCAAGAACGACGCATTTAAGTGCCTTTTCTTGGCTGATGATATTGGTACTTAAACCTAAACAAAGGATAGACTAGTGAAAATCAGAGAAACTGTTATTTCTACGTCAGCACTGCCCAGTTCTCACTACCAGCTTTAACGCTGAGAGCCACATAGCCTTGTGAAAGTAGCAAGAAAAAAAGCAACAAAACATGGACCATTGCTACAACACACTACATCTGATCTGTAACTAAATGCACATGGACTGCTTTGGTATAAACGTTTTACACTCCCACATGACACGACTTAGATCTTTTAGGAGAGAAGATACTTTGATCCCACCTATAAAAGCCAACCCGTGCAACGGGGGTATATCAAAGTAGAAAGACAAATATCTGATAAAACATATTTTCTTACTAAAAGAGAATCGAATTCAAGCCTTTTGCATGAAAAGCGGAAGAGCCCACCTAAAATTCAATCAACCAGAAAATGATTTTAAAAATTACAGCTCATTGCCCTCACCTTCTCATCAGCGATACGCTTCGCCTCCAACTTTTGCAAGTGGTTTGGAACTGCTGGCGTTTTCTTCCTTGTCTCTGATTCAGCAGGTTTAACAGACTGCTCAGGCCTGCGTGAGGGAAGATGGTCACACTCGTAGAAGGGAAACGGTCAGACAACAAGAAAGAATGTTGGGAAGAAATGAGCAGCAAGATCATGGTCACATCTCACCCAAAACAGATCTTGAAAATACAGTGGCGTCTGTTTATATCTAAATCAGCAGGACCGCCAGATTTTCTTTGGTTTAGCTGGCTTTTTTCTTTAAAGGGGTCGTTCAAAGAGAAGAAAATAATTGGGCGTTTAATTTTCTTTCAGTTACTGTTGTTTTTGGATCAACCATGTCCAGCTTGAGCAGACTCCACTGTAGTAACACAAGAGTTGGTTCTTTTTTTTTCTTCTTTTTTGTATAGTAGAGGGTTTTACGGCACTCGCAACTGCATAAGGTCATATGAGCGCCAAGGGGTGGGTGTCAACAGAGAAGTCTTTACAGAGAATCAGACTTAGACTGCTCACCTCTCTAGTTTCAACAGCACAAGGTCTGCTTCAACTATCAAGGCACCCCGGAAATAGCAGGTCACAAGAGAGTGACAAATATACAAAAGAAGTAGAAGAAAAAGATAGTAAGGATCAGGAAAGAAAAAGCAGCAGTTCCCTGTTGTAGTACATGTAGATCAGGCACAGTTATGAGCGTGACATGAGTCAGCCCATTTACAATTCTACTATGCTTGAACGAGAAATGTCCCCCCTTTGGGAATGGCCTAAAGACACTACAGTCAGTGGCACTGCCCCGGGGAGTGAGAGTTGGTTCATTGGTTGGAGTGAGAGGAAAATGTAACAACATGGCTGTTATTGAATGCCGACCAAGAGGCATGGCAGACAGGCAGAGTCAGTTTTACTGAGAGT